TTTTGCCAGTGACACTGGTAGCACATTACAATGTTTTATAAATACTCTGTTTAATGATTATCAAACAGTTTAAGTATATTTAATTCTTTGTAGTACAGGAAAAGTTCCCCTTGTTTGAAATTATAAGATAAAAACTCAACAGTAAAAAGAACTTTGGTACTATCAACGACCAAGTTAGAAATAGTAATAAGCAGAGGCCAACTCTTAACCTCTATCAGGACAAAACCAGCAAATGTCATATAGTTATACCTTACTTTGTGAAACTCAGTATATTAAAGTTTACGAAACAGTAATTTGATCACCCGGAGGGTGAGGACGGTGATGCAATATTGAGCAGCTTCCTGGGCTCACACAACCAGGAGCTGGCCAAGAACTGGATTCCCACAGTGGACATAAGGGGCGCCATGGGCACTGTGGGGCTGGTGTGGGTCACTGACTGGAGGCCAATTCTGGACCGGGTGCCTTACATCAACAGCAAGTTTAAGAATGATTAATTAAACTGACGCCTCCATGAACCCCTCTGGTGTCAGGTGGTACCAGTTCCTCCCATGTCAGCGCCTGCTGCATCTGGAACAGCCCAAGCTCTCAGGATGGACACTCAGGGAATCCACAGTGCAACTTAAGATTTCTTGTATTTCTGAAAACAGCTGGGGTGTTTTAAGCACACAGCATTAAATCTCACTATGAAACCTGCCCCCTGCCTGGATATTAGTCATGCTGATAATTCAGTTACTTTGAATACAGCCCCGGAGAATGACCCAGGGGGCTTTACAAGCTCCAAAATGTTGCCAGTTTAGGAGAGTTTTCCAATGGCTGTCAGATATTGTTTTATTATTATTATTATTGAGACAAGGTCTCGCCATGTCCAGGCTGGTCTCAAACTCCTGAGCTCAGGCGATCCACCTGTCTCAGCCTCCCAAAGTACTGGGATTACAAGCACCAGCCACCACGGCCGGCCTGTTTAACTATTTTAAATGTTTACTGGGGAAAAAGAAGCCCCTAGCAATTTGAGTGACTACCACATGCAAGGCACTGTGCTGGGCTTCAGAGTATAAAGATGAGAAATCACTAATAACACCACTGGGACTCAATATGCAAAACTATCATCCATGCTTCCCTCAAAATTTGTTTCTCTTACAGAATTCCTCATTTCAGTTAATGGCAATTCCATCTTTTCAAATGCTGAGGCCAAAAACCATGGAATCCTTTATGTCTCCTTTCTTGCTCTCACATACGACATCCAATCCATTCAGAAATTCTATTGGCACTGCCTTCAAAAATATACCCAGAATCTAACCACTTCTCATTCAGTACCACTTCATGACCACCATCATCTAGATAAGAGGTCCCCAACCCCTGGGCCACAGACAGGTATTGGTCTGTGGCCTGTTAGGAACAGGGTCACGCAGCAGCAAGTGAGCAGTGGGCCAGCAAGCATTACCTCCTGAGCGGCACCTCCCGGCAGATTAGTGGAGGCATTTGATTCTCACAGGAGCCGAAACCTACTGTGAACTGCTCATGCGAGGCATCTAGGTTGAATGCTCCTTAGGATAATCTAATGCCTGATGATCTGAGGTGGAACAGTTTCATGTGAAACCACTGCTCCCCACCCCGGTCTGTGAAAAAACTGACTTCCATGAAACTGGTCCCTGGTGCCAAAAAGGTTGGAACCACTGAGGAGATTATTTCACTAGACTCCTGATTTCCATGCTTCCATGCTTGTTCCCTACTGTTTATTCTCAACATACCAGCCATCTGTCAGAGCATAAGTCAGATTGCTACTCCTCCGTTCAAGACTCTTCAAAGCCTCCCCATTTTATAGTAAAAGCTAAAATCCTTAAAGGCCCTGCAAAGTCCTTCACAACTGCTCTTGCCCAGCATCTCCTGCTACTATTCTTCCACCTCATTCTGGCCACTGACATCAATGCTACTGCTTGAACAAAGCAGGCACACTTCTGCCTCAGGACCTTTGCACTGGCTTCTCCTTCTGCCTAAAACACTCTTCCCCATGACATTTCACCAAATGTTACCTTCTTGTTATGGCATTCTCTGATTATTCTGTTTTAAAGTACATCTATTCTTGATAACACTCTCACATCCCCCACTGACTCCTTTCCTGATTTATTTTACCTCCATACCTCTTACTACCACCAAACATATCGTGTAATTTACTTATTTATTATTATATTCATGTATCTAAGTCTCCCTGCTAAAATGTAAGTTTTATGAGGACTAGGATTTTTGTCTGTTTTGTTCACTGAACAGTGACTCCAGAACAGTGCCTATATATAACAGGCTCTCAAAAAAGATTTGCTGAATGAATGAACTATGTAAACATACTCACTTGCAGAGGACGCTCTGAAAGGACAGAATATAAAACAAAACTCTAGAGTCAGGCAAGGTTTCAGACTTAAAATTAGATAAATATTTAAACTGGATGAACACAGGCCAGGCACAGTAGCTCATGCCTATAAACTCAGCACTTTGAGAAGCCAAGGTGGGAGGATCGCTTGAGGCCAGGAGTTCAAGACCAGCCTGGGCAACATCATGAGACTTCATCACTATAAAAAATTTAAAAATTGGGCCGGGTATGGTGACTCGCACCTGTAATCCCAGCACTTTGGGAGGCCGAGGTGGATCACCTGAGGTCAGGAGTTCGAGACCAGCCTGGCCGACATGGTAAAACCCTGACTGGGCGTGGTGACAGGAGCCTGTAATGCCAACTACTCGGGAGGCTGAGGCAGGAGAATTGCTTGAACCCGGGAGGCGGAGGTTGCAGCGAGCTGAGATCAGACTGCTGCAGTCCAACTTGGGTGACAAAGCAAGACTCAGTCTCAAAAAAAGGAAAAAAAAAACCATTAAATATTGGCTGGGCATACTGGCACACAACTGTAGTCCCAGCTACCCAGGAGGCTGAGGTAGGATTGCCTGAGCCTGGGAGGCTGAGGCTGCAGTGAGCCAAGATCACACCATTGCACTCTGATCTGGGCAACGGAACAAAACCCTGCTTTAAAAAAAAAAAAATTAGATTAATAGGAATTCTGCACTGATGACAGTAGAGTGACAGACTGTCAATACTCAAGAACATGTTTATAATAAGGGGGAACTCTGAATCCAAAAGAGGACTCTTAAAGACAAGTCAGCTTCCTGAAAGTTGTGTTATCTGACAAAAGGAGAAAACAGAATGAGACCTACAGCACAATTTTATGTAAATTTAAAAGACATATACAGGCCAAACAATATTATATTTCTGAAATATGCAAAGTAATAACTGTAGGATAAAAGTAATTTTTGAGGCCAAAGTACTAAAAGAACCACAACTTAGAAAATAATCCTTTTTATTCCCCATTTCCCTTCTTCCCATCTCTGGTTTTAGAGTCTTTTGGGTTGAGTCAAAAGATCTTATTTCCTTCCTTTCTTCCTTCTTCCCACTCCTCTTTTGTTCTCAAACTTAGGGTCAATTTCCTGCACAATCTGTCTGCACAGGATATCCACTTAAACACCATTCTACACATTAGCACCAAACAAAAGGAAAACTTTTCCAAAGAGAAAAACATCCTAACATTTTTCTGAAGCTAAGAAGGAACATATTTTGAATCATAAAGAGTAAAGGAACTAAATGAGGGGGAACAAGGGATAAAGGCAAAAACAAAAGAAAACAAAAGCCTGTGGGAAGAGCAAGTAAGTGTCACAGTGTTACCCAGTAGCTATAGTCTATGTCACTTTCCTCATTGATTAAGACAGACATGTCTGGATGATTCAGATGTACTGTACACACCCAAATGCAAGTGTGTGGGCTGGGAATGGTTTATTTTTGAACAAAATGAAATGACTACTATAAATTAGGTAACTTAGATATCAAGTTAACTAATCTTCCATTATTCACTGCTATAGAGGTAGATCAGAGACTTAAGATGGGATAAGAGAAGACTGATTTTCACTCATGTAAAGAACCTAGGTAACAGAAATATATTATCACAATTAAGAAAAGGCATTTTTTTTCTATTGCTACATTTGCAGGCTACAACAAAAATAAAGCAAAACAGAATAGCCACTTGTACAAAGTAAATTATCATGATTAAAAAAGTTAAAACCCAAAATAATAAAACTCAAACTGAGAAAATTCCTAAGCTTAATGTTTAATTGTATTAAAAACACTTTTCACCAATTAGTCATTCAGTAACTTTTATCAGTTTAATTAGAAATTTGTCAGGTAGTAATTGGAGAAATTAATATTAAAAATTTTCAGTTTAGGCATTTTCAAGTATTTTATAAACATTTATCTTGTCAGAATTCTATTTTATCTGACTGTATATTCTCTAAGAAGCTAATAAGTTTTAATAACTTCTTTTAAAAATTATGTAAGGTAAATTATTCAACAGTTTTCAATATAGCTTAAGTTCTTCACATCTGTATCTTACTATTACAAAATATTACATATTATCCATACATTCTTCCATTCAGTATTTATTGAGATCCTACTATGAGATATTCCCCCAAGAAACCACACAAACTTTCACTGACCAAGAATGAAGACAAAAAACAGTAGTAGGTAAGATGAATTTTTTTGAAATCTTCATTCACACTTGATTAATGTGGTTATCAAGCCTCCCCGAAACTATCAACTCTGAACCATACCTGTCATGTCGGATAGAGTAGACTCTGAGGCCTCAGTGCACAGGCAGCAAAGTGAAGTGTCCTGATCTCTGCCATAACTATTAGGTGGAAGGAGAACTGTCCCAAGGACCATACCTCCGCCCAGAAGCACAAAAGTTAAACTCTTCTGTGTAAAGAGGAAGTCTTAGAATTCCATTCTTTGACAAGCAATACCACATGCATGTGACATTTACTCATGTACTCAGTGGCCAGAGGGAACCAATAAAATGGTAGAGCATTCACAATTCCCAAAGTGGGTGGAGAGTGACCTAAAGGAACACTTCCAGTAATCCACAAAAGACTGAGTCAGAATGGAGTTACTTCAAAATCTCTGGGAATACTTTTAAAATAGAAGTAAAATAAAAACCAACATACATATGTACAACAAACAGCCTAATAATAAAATAATGTAGAAATTAATATATCTCTATTTTATAGGGAGATGATGAGGTGAGATTATAGAGAAAAGTTTCCTTGGAGAAAACCTGTTTACAATAAAACACGAAATACACTTTTAAAAGAAAGGAAACGCCTAACAAGACTCATCTTTACATCACTTAAATAGTTCAAGAAACCACAAAGCCAAAGTCAAAGAAATAGCTGTGATCTGATTCACGAGCACAGAAGCCAAGAAATAACTGCTTTTGCTAATAATTTGGCTCTACAGTGTAATAAAGGTTAAAAACATAGCAATACAGTGTTGAAAACTTTTGAGTGTTAAAAGTTTATTTATTTATTTTTATTTTTATTTATTTATTTTTTTTGAGACAGAGTCTCGCTCTGTCGCCCAGGCTAGAGTGCAGTGGCGTGATCTCGGCTCACTGCAATCTCCACCTCCCGGGTTCAAGTAATTCTCCTGCCTCAGCCTCCCAGGTAGCTGGGATTACAGGTGCCCGCCACCACGCCCAGTTTTTTGTATTTTTAGAAGAGACGGGGTTTCACTATGTTGGCTAGGCTGGTCTCAAACTCCTGACCTCGTGATCCACCTGCCTCGGCCCCCCAAAATGCTGGGATTACAGGTGTGAGCCACCATGCCCAGCCTGAGTGTTAAAAGTTTTTAAAGTAAAAAGTCCAATCTTTGTTAATAAACAGGAACAAAGCTAAATAAAATTTAAAAACCTAAAAATGATAGTACTTTGTGAGAATTAAACTAGCAAAACCTACAAATAATAGATGACTTTAATGTATGATCTACATAAATAACATTAAAGAGTGTAGGCCGGGCACCGCGGCTCACGTCTGTACTCCTGGCACTTTGGGAGGCGGAGGTATGTGGATCACGAGGTCAGGAGATCCAGACCATCCTGGCTAACACGGTGAAACCCTGTCTCTACTAAAAATACAAAAAATCAGCCAGGTATGGTGGTGGGCACCTGTAGTCCCAGCTACTTGGGAGGCTGAGGAGGAGAATGGCGTGAACCCAGGAGGTGGAGCTTGCAGTGAGTCGAGATCGCGCCACTGCACTCTAGCCTGGGCGACAGTGTGAGACTCTGTCTCAAAAAAAAAGAGTGTTTAATTGTGTAACTGAGAACTCATTCACTCAATAAATATTTATTAAACACCTAATATGTACCAGCCCGTTCTAGGTCAATAAAAGTAACAGGGTTAAGATAATAGGATGACAGGACTGAAACAGCCTTAGAGAAAATTGAAAAATAAAATGGTAACTTAACCTTATTAGAGAAAGAATAACTTTAATGTAGGTAATTATTAACTATTTAAAATAACAAAGCTTATGTTTTCAATAAAATTATCCTTTATAAAGCCAGTACTTTCAACATCAAGGGACAAATAAAGAGTTAGATGACTAAAGGTAACCACAATTATGACTAAGAATTTCAAATACCAGATTGAATATCTCATTCTCCAGATTATAGAAAAAAATGTATGGGAAAGGACCTTCAACATCCATATGTAGACTCTATACTATATGATTTACTATTTAATCAATAAATCTTCTATTTAAATTACCAATAATTAGTAGTTACATTTTCAATTACTTATATCATAATTTGGAATAAAGAGGAGATAAATGGATAAACAAAAGGTGGCCTATACATATAATGAAATATTACTTAGCCATAAAAAGAATGAAATTTTGATATATGCTACAATGTAGATGGGCCTTGAAAATATGATGCTAAGTGAAATAAGCAAGACATATCAAGGCAAATATTATATAATTCTACTTACATGAAATATTTAGAATTTTTCTAGTTCTGGAAGTCTAGTTCTGCAAATGGGTAGCTATGTAACATTATGAATATATTTAATCCTACTGGACTGTACATCTAGGAATAGTTAAAATAGTAAATTCTGTGATACTTTGTCATAATTAAAAATTAAAATTATTAAGGTTTCCAAAGGCCTTTTGTTATAGCTATCAGTATTTACCACATTTGAAATTAAACCTGAAATTTTTACTGAGAAATTTGAATATATATTAATTCTAAAATAACAATAAACCCATTACGTTAACAACATATTTTTACTTAAAAATAAGTACTTTTCAAAAGAGAATTAAGAGTTTTTTCAAATCTCTAATAGGTTGAGGTAGGAAAGTGCATTACTTTAATGAACGTGACAAACTAAGGCCAGAAGCAAAAGAAGAATCTAAGCAAAGATGAGGACGAGCAGGGGCATTCTGAGTAGAGAATGTAGCAAGTGCAATGCAAAAACCCTGAGGTAGGAAAAGAACCTGGTATGTACAGGAAATAAGAAGTGTGGCTACTGTTAAGGAAGTCAGAAGATGAGCATGAAACAAAGTAAGGTAGACAGGGGCTGGCCAAATCAAGTGCTTAAGGATTTAGGATTCTATTCCAAGTACAATGGAAATCCAGTGACCAGTTTTAAGCAGGGTGGCCACATGGTCTGATCTTTTTTTTTTTTCCAGACAGGGTCTTGCTCTGTCTCCCAGGCTGGAGTACAGTGGCATGATCTTGGCTCACTGCACCCTCCACCTCCCAGGTTCAAGTGATTATCCTGCCTCAGCCTCCTGAGTAGCTGGGATTACAAGGTGTGCACCACCATGCCTGGCTAATTTTTGTATTTTTAGTAGAGACGGGGTTTTGCCATGTTGGCCAGGCTGCTGATTTCCGTTTTTTAAAAGACCATTATTACATGAAAAAAAAAAAAAATGAATTACATTGAGAACCAAATGAGAAGCAGAAAACTATGCAGAAGTTCAGCAATGGGATCATGTCGGCTAAGAATAGGATGGTGGCAGTGGAGACAAAGAAAAGTGGAAGTACTTAACGATATGGTTTGAAGAGGGAATCAATAGGGCTTAAAGATTACTTGGATATAACATAAGAGAGGAGGAGAAAATAAACAAAGGCTGCCAGGTTTTAGGCTTTACTGTAACTGGGTAGATGGCCATGTAATTCACTCAGAAGCAGCAGTAGTACAGGTTGAGTATACCTTATCCAAAACGCTTGAGACCTGAAGTGTTTCAGGTTTTAAATTTTTTCAGATTTTGGAATATTTGTATATATATAATGAGATATCTTGGGTTTGAGACCCAAGTGATATGGTTTGGCTGTGTCCCTACCCAAAATCTCATGTTGAATTGTAATCCCCATAAATCCCTACGTGTCAAGGGCGGGACCAGGCGGAGGTAATCGGATCATGGGGGCATTTTCCCCCATGCTGTTCTCGTGATAGTGAGTCTCACAAGATGTGATGATTTTTATAAACATCTGGCATTTCCTCTGCTTGTACTCACTAAATCCTGCCACCCTGTGAGGAAGGTGCCTGCTTCTCCTTTGTCTTCTGCCATGAGGAAAAAGGAAAGGAAAAAGATATATCACCCCAAAATATGTCTCTGACATAAAAATTATTTTTGAGCCTAAAGTAATGAATAGGGGAAAATCTCCCCATATCCTCTTGCTTTTCTACCTAAAGACAGGATACAAATTCTCCTTTACTGGTGACAACTATAGACTCTTATCAGCCCAGAGATGGCCTGAGCCTGGGAGGTTGAGGCTGTAATGTGCGAAGATCACGCCACTGCACTCCAGCCCACATGACAGAGCCAGATCCTGTCTTTAAAAAAAAAAAAAAAAGTAAAAAAAGTAGGCAAAGATCATGAACAGACATTTTCCAAAAGACGACATATAAGTGGCTTACAAACATACGAATAAATGGTCAAATCACTAATCAAAGAAATGCAAATTAAAACCACAGTAAGATATAATCTTGCACCAGTCAAAATGGCCATTATTTAAAAAAAACAAAAACAAAAAACCAACAGATGTTGGCAAGGATGCAGAGAAAAGGGAACACTTATTTACTGTTGGTGGAAATGTAAGTTAGCACAACCTCTATGGAAAATATAGAGATTTCTCAAAGAACTACAAGTAGAACTATACTTCCAGCAATCCCACTACTGGATATCTACCCAAAGGAAAAGAAATCATTCTATCAAAAAGACACTTGCACTCCATGTATTTATTGCAGCGCTATTCACAATAGCAAAATCATGGAATTAACCTAAGTGCCCATCAATAGATGACTGGATTTTTAAAAATATGGTACAGATATACCATAGAATACTACTTAGCCATAAAGAAGAATAAAATCACGTATTTTGCAGCAACACGGTTGGAACTAGAGGTCATTATCCTAAGTGAAATGACTCAAAAACAGAAAGCCAAAACCCCTATGTTCTCATTGTAAGTGGGAGCTAAACAATGAGTACACATGGACCTACAGAATGGAATTACATATTTTGGAGACTGTAAAAGGTGGAATACTACCTATTGGGTCCCATGTCATGTATGCTATTCAGGTGATGGTTATACTAGAAGCCCAGACTTCACCACTAGACAATATGCCCATGGAAGAACTGCACTTGTACCCTCCAAATCTATAAACTTTTTTTAAAAAAGCAATAGAGGGGCCTCAACTTTTGCAAGACTAACTCTCTTTAGGTTAGTCAATAATAGTATAAGTATATGTTGTTTTATTATTCTTTGCTTTACTGTGCTTTGCAGATGCTGTGTTTTTCACAAATTGAAGGTTTGTGGCAACCCTGCATTGAGCAAGTCTATCAGCACCATTTTTCTTTTCTTTTTTCTTTTTCTTTTTTTTTTTTTTTTGAGACAAAGTCTCACTCTATTGCCCAGGCTGGAG